TGAGGAGAGAATAAGACCTTTATTAGATGTTGTGCAAGGTTCCAGCTGCACTGTTCCTATTGTAACTGGACAAACTCGTTTTCTGACATATTGTCTTCTTTGATAGCCATACTTCTCATTTTGTGCTTGCATCATTTCTTTGGACAATGTTGAGCAATGTGTTTTGGTTCTCCACAATATAAACATAATCCTTCTTAACGACGACGAGTCTTTTCTTGTTCAATAAGAGATTTGAAATGTATTGCATCGATTTGTATATCTTTTACTTTTGAAGATATGTATTAAGAAGACGTAGGTGTTGCCATTGAATTGTAATAATGTTGAGGCCTACTTATATGACTCTCAAATCGAAATTCAAAAAGTCGATTATCACATTTTACAGCAAAATCAATTGCTAGATTCAATGTTTGAGGATCGGATAAATTGAGCATCAATTTTTTTACCTCATATTGTAGTCCATAAAAGAATTAGCTATTGAATACAGCATCATCCTACTTGGTATCAATCGCAAGTTGTCAAAATTGTGAAGCATATGTTATTACTGATTGATTTTTTTGTCACAAGATATAGATCTTATTTGTTGCAATATGAACTTTATCATGTTTTCCATACATAGATCAAAATTCTACCAAGAAAGCTTCTAAATTATCCAATATTAGATCTTGTCGTTAAAGAAAAGATAAAAACCATGATAATAGAGAATCGAAAAGTAGTGTTCGTATAAACCTGACTTGTGATCTTGGAATTGGATAGCTTTGGGATTGAAGTTTGATTATCAAGTGTACTTGATTGATAAAATCCTCGAAAATTTGATCTTGTACCATCAAATTTCTCGGGTAAGGCAATTTTTGGTTCTCTAGCATTTGAATGGTGTTCTACCATGGGAGAAGGGCCATCATTTGATGTAGGTGTTGAGGCAGCTTTGACCAACTCTACATCTCCACTTTCTATTATTCTTATTTCTCCTTCTGTTGGTGAATTAAGTTGATGCATCACAAGCATTAATTGCCTCAGTTGTTCTTGCATTTGAATCATTGCACTCTTCAATTTGACAAGCTCTACCATGGTAACACCTAAAAAAAATATATATCTAATATTGTTCAAAATAAGTAAGAGAATGGACTTGAGAACAAAAAAAATACTAAAAATAATATCAGTTTAAAAGAGGGTAATCCGCAACTCTTAATACGCTTATGTCTTATCAAGAAAAAGGAGTAATCTATTCTTAATCAAGGAAAGACAAAGCTTTGATATTGTAAGTGTATTCTTATCAATCTATCAAGGACAAGAACTCAATGAAAAAGTAATTCAGACAAGTGAGCCTTCATTCAAAAAAAGGTAACAAAATATAAATAAACAAGTATGTATATTGAAAGAGAAATTGGAATGGCTATTGCCAAAGACTAGAAAACATGAAGACTCTTGAAACTAGACTGGAAACAAAAAAGGACTTAACAAGAGTGAAAAAGGCTTCACTCTTGTCTCTATATATACTATCTAACTAGGGGCTACAAGGTGACATTCTATAGGACCTCCAATATGTGTTGATTTGTAGGAGACATGCCTTGACTTACAAGGCAAGTTTTTCTACGTGTCGGCCACATTGTTAGCTTCATCTTCAAGCTAACAACATGTGTGGCACATGGCCAACTTGTTGACCGCGTTTCTAATCCAAAAAGTCAATTAAAGACACCTATAAAGTCAAAGCAAGTTTATCTATGAAGCTTCTAGGAAGATTTCATACCAAATACTATAGAATTAACTTATTTTTATCTACTTTTAACTACTTCTTCCTATTTATATATGTAATTACTGGCTTACATGAGTATGTTCATAACAAAACCAACACAAAACCTCACCCATTGCCAAGAAACGATTCAAAGATACTATTGGAAGCAAAACAAGGATGTTCTATATTAGTGGAGGGGGATTTAGTATAATAAAATATAGATAAGATAATTGTATAGATAGTTAGAACCATGGAAGTTTTTAAAATTAAAATTAGATTAGTGGACCGGGTAGGATCCACCGTAGAACATTCTAAAACGAATTTAGGGTGGTTATATAGGTGAAGCCCACCATGAAACATTCTTAAAAAGGCTTGGGATGATTTTCTAGGTAGAGCCCACCATAGAACTTTTAAAAAAAAGAATTTAAGACAGTTATCTAGGTGGAGTCCACCTCCTATGAACATTCTAGAAAGTCTAGGTAGTAGGACAAGGTATAAATAAGATAGGCTAGGGCCTTTAAGGGCACTTGGATAGATATGACTTTGGATTCTTTCTCTTATTAAAATTTGGTTTTGCATCTTTTTGTTCAGATCTCTTCTGTTTTGTTTTTGTTTGCTCAGTTTTGCCATTCATGTCTTATTCTGTCTAGTTTCGTTCAATTTTGTTCTAGTCTATTTTGTCCAATTTTGTGATGAGGCTTTATGTTGCTGTGGATTAGAAGGATCTTGAGTTTTTGAAATAGACTAATCCTATTTCAACCCTTGTTTCAAAATTTGTTATTAGCTCTATTTTTAGGTTTTATTAACTTATGAAATAACTTGAACTCTCCTTGTAGAATTTAATATTTGGAAGAAGACATAATATAAATAATTTTTATATTACTTAAATAAATAGAAATAAATTAAATTAAATAGAAGTAGAAATGTGTTGAAAAGCTAATATACTTTATAAGAAGCTTTAACAAAAAAAATTGGATATAGATTAGACATTTAGATTTTTATAGAAATATCATATAGCTATTCAAACTTCTTCCATGTGTTTCTTAATTTTATAGAGTTGCATTAGAAGTAATTTATAGCTTAATACTTAAGCCACAAATTTTACAATTCCTATGAAGCTTTTGCAAGACCTTCTTTATATTTGATATGTATATATGAGAAAATTATGGCTATTCTTATCCTTGCAAATATTTGTCTTGTATTCTAGTCTTAATTTTATAATCATTTAATAATATCTAAATTCTTTTAAATCTAGTAAATAATATACTTCTATATATTAATTTATATAATTTATAAATTAATTGGTCAAAGAAATAAATTCTTTCAAAGAAGATATCAAATAAATAAGAAAATAAAAGTGGTACATTTTATATTTGTAGAAATCAGAACATTTTACAAAAAGTAATAAAATCACTATTAAATTATATACACAAATTCAAGGGCTTTTTTTTTTTTTTTTTTACATTTATCAATAAAATCTAATAAATGAGCTTTATGTCTTAATCCACATTGTAATGTTTAATAAAACTAGATATTCTAAGAAAATCATACTACATACATATAAAATACACAAAATTAAGATGAAATTGAGAATTTCACAATGCAAAACTCAAAACATGAAAGGTAAAAAAACACTCAATCAAAACCACTTCTTATTCAAGGTTGTAACATACTACCAATGTCTAGTGTCACCCTTACAAATCCACATCTCCCATGCATTCTTATTGAACAACTCTTGGTATCACAAGATTTAATACACTACACTGACAAGCTCACTTCTTTTGCTAGAAAGTGTCATGTGATGTCCAATGATGTCTGTATTGTCTGTATTGTTATTGCTGACAGCACCACTTGGAAAGCTCCCTCTACTTGTTCAAAACTGCTGCAAGTTTATTCATATTTTGTGAACGTTTTGTGAACCCTTGAGTTAGCAGGAAAGAAAGCTCTTGCATTCAACTGTGCATTATTCAGTGTTGTTCTAAAGTACAGGTGGTGCCACAGGTCCAACTGAATTAGTGCATTGCAAAACTTACCTTTGACAGCAAAGAATATAATTTAGAAAGTGCAGTGGAAAGATTCTTGATGCCACCGGGTGCAGTGAACAACGTTGCTGAGATCAGTTGATCACTTAAGATTCATCACTGTTAAATACTATCCCACACATCAGAATTTGTGACCAACATTGCTTGCCAAAAGGTTTGTATATACACCACATCAAACGTCCACCCTGCCGGGATGCAATTCTGCGGGGGTAACAATGTTCTGCAACATACAGCCATTGCGGAAATAACTAGACTGTGCTCCAGGTTTCCATTAGTTATATGCACACATGGTCATTGTGCCTTGAGGATTTCAGATGTATCACAGAAAATAGAAACCTGAAATGTTGACTGCCTTAGCAGTACCAAGTATCAGTTGACAATTCCTTGGACGCCCAATGCAGGGCAGATGCAGGGTTTCAAATCATGTTCCATACGATACTGTTCCAGGCGAGGACTTTAAATGATAATCCAGTATTTCGAAGACTCCAATAATTGTCTGACTACAGGAAAACTTTGAAGTCTCAAAGTTAAATCCATTTCAGAAATCCTATTCATTCTGGTCTCGGAATGAGCTCTCAGGAACACAGTCCACAACGGCACATGGCTGAAGAGGTACAACGGATTATACAGAAAGTACTTTATATTACCCTCAGAAATGTGACTTTACAACACAGCTGCACTCATGAGAAGCAGCTTCAATGATGCGGTAACGACCACAATCGATACACGCGATATCAGTCCGGTAAAACTGTAAATTGTGTCCTTTCGAATTAGCATCAAACCGCACACAACTCACAGAAAATCAATTTGTCCGAACAATTCCTTCAAAGAAAAAAAGAGAAAACACTCACAGCCGGTTCAACCATACCTGCAGCATTCACCACTCCGGTGGACTGTTCTATGAAAGAATTTAAATACTTCCCAACCAGACTGCACCACCAACTTTCTCTGATCACCACACTTCTCTACCACCGGCTAACAGATACACCACGCATAGTGCCTGCCCACATCCAACGCCCTTCCAACCCATTTCCAAACACCCTTCACATTCAACAAAGAAAAAGTCCCATCACCGACACATCGCGAACGAAACAGATACACACTACTCACCCTCCCGTTCCCCGACATCATCCTATCAGCACTCACTTGTCACCACACATCTCATTCCATGCGGACGCCATACATCTCACTTCACTTCCACACATACATCCCACAAACATCGTCTTCCATGTCCGCAACCCCACAACACATTCACCTCAACCACATATAACATTAGCTTTTCTGCTTCCAATCGAGTCGCTTCGAACTCCCTCCTTCCTTCCATTCTTTCTTTCTTCCTTTCATTCTTTCTTTTTATAAAATTTCTCCCATTTCCTTCCTTTCGAAGACCAAGGATCCCTACTTCCTACCCTCTCCACCAATGCTTCCTACCCTACCCTACCCTACCCTACCCTCGCCTCTCTTCACAGCCTACCATTGTACAATGGCCGCAACCCTCCGCACCTCCCTCCGGTGCCGAGCTCGTCCAGCCCCTTAATCTACCTCTCTCCCTGCTACGAGAGAACCCGCAGTGGAGGGGGAACCACCAAAATCATCCCCCTGCCCAACGCATACCCCTTCCAAAACCTCCTGTGCCCATACCAACACATTTTACAACCCCCCGCCGCGGCCTAGTCCACGTCGATCTCCCCGTCCTCCACATCCACCACTTCGTCCTCTTCCCCTCCCTCCTCCCTCGCTTCCCCGCACTCCACCTCCATCTCGTCCTCCCCGTCCACGTCCGCATCCTCATCTTCCTCCTCATCGTCGTTCCTCATGAACAGCCCAAGCTGCTCCAGTGGATTACTCCCACCCTGCAGCGCTATCGTCGACGACCCATCCGGCGACCCCTCCTCCCCGTTCCCCGCATCGTGCACCGACCCCAGCATCGCCTCCAGCGGACCCGACCGAAGTCTCTCCAGGTCCTTCAGAATCCCGCTGTTCTCGTCGATCTCCACCGTCCTCTCCATCTGCGAACCCCCAACCCACATCCCACCGCATCCGTCAACACATCTCCCACCTCACATGCACCCAACACACCCACATCACCACTCAATACACTCACACCCCTCAGCACCCCCCCCCCCCCGACTCGCATGCCCACCTGCTGCAGCTCGCGTCGGGCCTCCTCTCGTTCCACCTCCCGCTTCTGCTTCTCCAGCAAAGCCGCCTCTGCTTCTGCCTTCCGTTTCGTGATCTCGGCCGCCTTCGCTTCGGCATGTAACCTTGCTTTCTCTGCACCACACACGTTCCCACGTTCAGCTACCACCCACCACCACTCAACTCACTCACCACCTACCACATCAACTAACAGCTCAACGTTCAAACTCATGGCCCCACTGCTCACCTTCCCTCTGCCTTCTCTCCATCTCCTCCCGGTCTCTCTTCAACTTCTCCGGGTCTACTTTGTCGTTCTGTTTCACCGCGCGATCACCCACCCAAACACCCACACCCACACACAATCAACAACCCACACACCAACACCGTCGCAACCACCGCACACCATACCATCCAATCCACATCTTCCGCCTCGTCTCATACAACCACACGCAACGACATATCATCATCAGTTCCAAATCCAAAACGTCCCTCATCCGCACTCCATCCCCACGTCGCCCACCACCGTGCCTCCCCCGAAACTCGCAACTACCATCTCCTACCACCCACGGCCACAGGCGCCGTCTCCACACCATCCACAAATCCCAAGACTCTCTACCTTGCTGTCCGGTAACGCCTTCCCCTGCGACTTCACTATCAGGTCCGCAAAACGCCCCTTCAGCAGCGCAGCCCGCAACTGTTTCTCCGGTGAAACTTGTCTCGCCGGAGGACTCTTCTCCGGAACCACCGCCCTCTCAGACACCGTCTCCCCGTGTACCACTAACACATCCTCTGCATTCGCACCCACAACACATCAGATACACCGAAAACGATCCCACACATCCACAACTCACTCATCCCACGAAACCACCCCGCACACGTCTACACATCCATCACCACACTGACAATTCTACAATGCACCCTCCCACACATGCCATCACACAACACCACTCACGTCCCCACAACCCTACCCAAACCTAACCGGTGCGCAACCAATCCAACCCAGACACCCACTCACTTTTGGTCGCCTCCGCCTCTGCACAACGGCTGTCTTTCTGCTCGCTTGCGGGCTCTCTACCCACCGGGTCCTGCATCGCTTGCGGTGGAAAATCCGCAATCGACTGGCATGTTTCAGCCTCCACCTCCCAGAGTAAGTTCAATGTAGGACACACTCGCAAGCCCTCCTGACTTCAACTAAAGCCATCTAGAGAACCAATATCTTCACACACCAGGCACGCAGCCTGCTGCAACCACAACCAAAACGCTTCCCAACCAACCAACCCACAACCAACCCCAAGGAAAATATCATGAGCTCCGCCCACCACCCTACCAACGGCAACTGACCAAGCTCATCATCTTCCCCAGTCCAACTGCAGCCGTAACCTCTCTACAACCTCATTCACACCTTATCATGTGATGCTTTGGGTCCGGCACCGCCCGTTTGCCCATCCTCGGCATCAGATTCACTCCCCGATGAGCTTCCCGAATCCGAATCTGCACGCCCCCCCCCAACCACACCCAACCCTCAGATCCTCCACCTTTCTCTCCCCACCTCCCTCTATTCACGCCCCTTCCACTCTCAACACTATCATCCCCCCCCCCCACCCTCCGTCCCACATCCTTACCACTGTCCGAGCTTCCCGAGTCGCTGCTGTCACTCCCAGAGCTGCTCGACTCTCTCCCCTTGTCGATCACTACCGGCGCGAACTTCGCTGGCCCCACATCATCGTCGATATCTACATCCTTCTCACCGCCTTCCCCGCCTGTCCAAAACCACCCGCCCCATTGTCACTTCCTCCAACCTCACCATCAACACCCCCCACGCTCCCTACACCCCCGAACCGCACCGCAATCACTCCCACTTCAACCCCACTCCTTACCTGCTCGTCCTCCTCTCCGCACTTCGCCCCCGCCACCTCTCGCCGCCTGCATTCACCGCACACAAACCACACATTATTATCCCACTACCTCACTCAAACTCCTCCGCCTCCAACGTTCGCCGCTCCCAACACACCGCTTCCCACCTCCACATCCCCCA